CTCTGGATGATAATTTTAGTCATCCACTCAGCAGTTGGGTGATCCACCTCTTTACTGAAAGAACTTAATATTGACTCAAGTTGAAAACTAAAAGCTTGTAAAAAGTCAACTGATTGTTCTGGTGGAGATAAATCTAGTAATTGGTGAAAAAAGGTTTATAACAGTCTTCTCTTTATCAGCACTTGCTCTAGAGGGCTGGTTTCAGTAATTATGACTATTACTTGTATTGCTTAAGGCATCTTGCTTAGCCTCAGCTTTAATTACAGCTTCAGCTGCTGCTGCAGCTTCAGCTTTATTTTCATTTTCTGGTTCAGATTCACTGGCTGTTGCAGCTCCACTTGAAGTTTCAGCTGCAGCTTCACTTATTTCTGTGGGTTCCTGTGAGAAGCTGGTTAATTCAGTAGCCTCTTGCATTGAATTTATAGAATCCAGGGAATATTGAGATGATTTGTCTGAAAATTGATCAGACTCTGTAAATGAATCATTACGTGAAGTTGTATTAGATGAGATTGCAGAAAATGAAGGTTGAAAAATTATAGATCCAGTGTAGGGATCTAATTTAATTAGAGGAGTATCCTAATTTTGAGACAGCTCATGTATTTCATCTGAGTTGGGTGCTTGCTTGGGAGTTTCTATAGAAATGTTCTAACCCATTAGGAATATTTTGTGTCGCAAGCACTTTCTAATAATGATCTAACTTGTCTTGAATTATATCTTCATAGTCGGCAAGGTCAGATTCTATCAGACTCAATTCGTCTGGATCAGTATTGTTGACAAATAGTATGTTCCTATAAGACTCGATTATATCCTTTACTTGTTCATATTTTTGGCTAGCCACCTTTTTGAAAATTCTTAGCCTGGAATTATCAACTGGGTTAGCAGCTCCTAAACAGTTGTCACATTTGTCAAGTAGTCTTGATAAGTGATTTTGAAAACCTTTCACGGTTTTTCTAGTTTTTCCTGGAGTAGCCATACTGGCTGTGGGTTTGAGCCTTATAGGGCTTATATAGCTACTTGGACAGCTATGGTACTTGCTCATATATGTAGAGCAGGTATAATTATTGACAGCCTGATATTTCTTTGAACAGGCTGATTTTAATTTTCCTCATTTGGAGGTTAGCTACCTACCTAACAATAAGCAACTAATATATGAGTAGTACTTTGGTATCACTACCGGGGTTCCTAGGCCTAGCTCTTCATAATCAGCTTTGGAGGGGTAGTGACACTTTCAGTAATACTCAAAGATGAACATACAAATATGTAATAAAATATAATTACACAATAAACGGTTTATATATCCCACCCTAATTAGGGTCAGCACTACATAAATAGTAATAGACCAGCACTGTCTAACAGAACTAGTTAGGTAATAATCCTACCTATTAATGGAGCTAATGGTGTAGACTGAATTTGTACAAATTTTAGTGCCGTGGCAGTCTAGAATATCCTATCTCTGTTGAGTTGGCATAACTACAATAAATATGGTGCAATAAGGTGTAAAATAGTGCTATGTTTTTGGATTTTTCGTGATTATATATAATATATACACTTGTAGAAATTATGTGTATAAGAAATTTAATGAACACAAGATTATTAATTGTGTTTGGCAAGTATTTTACTACCGTAAATAATGTTTAACACCTGAATGTACCTCCTAATGGTGGAATATAATGTTATCAGGGTTAGTAATGATTAATTGATTTATGAGATCAGTAATTTGGATTAGTATACCGGATACTGAAATGTCAATGAATTCACTGACTTGAGTGAATCAGTAATTATAGATTGAATTTGTTTTAGGCTATAATGGACAGTGCTGACAGCCGTAAATTGAAATATTTGTATAGCCCAATAATGGTTAACACATAATTGGTGATAGTGATTAATTAATAATGATTGAGGATAGCTTGATTCTTGACCAAAAAGTTGGGTATATGGGGCTTTGACTCAAATATGGAATTATTTAATTATGAGAATTAATATAATCGAGGGACCACCCACTTTTGAGAAAAGAGGGAAAACAAATAAAGGAATTATAAGACTGACACTATAGAACCAGTGCCTATGTATGTTAAATTATTTAACAATCACTTAAAGAGAATGAATGGACTGTATTATTAATTGATTAAAATTAAAAGCCTCAAATATCAACATTGGGGGTATTTCTAAAAGTTCATATATATCTAGGAACCAGTGTGGTTCGTCACCAGTTCATTAATGTGGTTAGTAAAATAATAGAATCTTAACTAGAATGTAGATTCTAAGAATGTAAACTCTAATGATCAATATATTGAAAGATTATTAAATCCTAAGAAATAATAAATGCAAACTTATTGAGTACTGAGCAGTAAATAATTGTGTTATATTATTCCTCTTGATCATCACATGTGGAAATACATATGGAAACTAATTGTGGCATTAGTCAAATTTTCTATGAAACAAGATTTAGTCTTATCTTTAAGATGACTTCACTAAGTCTGTTTCGCTACTCGTCGTCGTGATCACAAGGTCCCAATAAGGAAGATACACCTATGGTGAAGATCGTAGGTGAAGGAAGAAATACTTGGTTCATCCTCATCTACACGCTGTAATCAGGGAAATTTGAGTAGCAATTGACAAGGGTATAAATTATTCCAATATTCACTGAAATTGGAATTAAAAATTATAAGAAACAAACATGTATTGGTGGTCTTCACACAAATTAACGACAGGCTACCCACAAATACACAATTTTGAATTATGCAACAAACCAAAAGGTATACTTAATGTAGGCGTGATGGAACACTAAAGCCTGCCGATACCACGTCTGACAGTCCCTGACGCTCACTGCTGTGGACGTGTGATTACGGGCCGTGACTATAATTGTAGATGCGCAATTAAACAGTTGGAGTACTGTAGACCATGTAATGTTGTTAAATGGCTGCCGTCTGTGGAGGCACGTGTGCACCACGCGACGCCCTGACCTTGAAGATTAGAATGCGCCCTTTGTCAATTAAAGGCAATGACCGATCTTCAGGCCAATTAAACGCAATGGCCGTAATGATGGGCACAGGCGCTGTTCAGAACACGCCTCACTGGGAAATGCTTCTCCTGGCACGCTACTAATATGGCGTCTCTCGTCGGAGTCTGGGCAGCAAGAGACCCTCTCCCTCTTCCCTCGTCGCCTGGTCTTGCATGCGCAGAGACGCTCATAGCGATCTCGGACTTAAAGTATTATATTTTACATATAATTAATCAGGGAAGTAAGGACTGGTGACAAGTGCTTATGTCACTAATAATTGTATTAAGGTGCAACATATTTTTGCACAATGCAAGTCAGCTTATTAAGACTGCATTAAGAAATATTATATGAATTACTTTATACTGCAATATTTTCCACTGTAGTTATTAATACACCTAAATGAACGAATTCAGTAAGAATTAATATGCTATGTAAATAATCAACTTAATAAACGATTATCCGTAGTCAGGGAACGTAATTAACTGGACTCTGTTTAGATGTAACTAAATGTGGAGAGATTCATGTTTTAGCCTGTCGCTAGGTCCCGGCGTCACTGAGACTGTGGGAAGAATTTGGCAAATATTGCGTTGCAATAGAAACTTTAATTGAATTAGTTCTACAAATTAGTAGAGTTAGTAATTACAATGGGTTAATACAATGATGATGTATTATAATACAATAATGATGTATTAGTGTTGGAAACTTTCCAACAACCAGCACCACTATCACCCACCATGGGAAACACTGGTGACACTACCAGCACCACTATCACCCACCACAGGAAACACTGGTGACACTACCAGTACCACTATCACCCACCACAGGAAACACTGGTGACACTACCAGCACCACTATCACCCACCACAGGAAACACTGGTGACACTATCACCCACCATGGGAAACACTGGTGACACTACCAGTACCACTATCACCCACCATGGGAAACACTGGTGACACTACCAGCACCACTATCACCCACCACAGGAAACACTGGTGACACTACCAGCACCACTATCACCCACCATGGTGACACTACCAGCACCACTATCACCCACCATGGTGACACTACCAGCACCACAATCACCCACCATGGTGACACTACCAGCACCACTATCACCCACCATGGTGACACTACCAGCACCACTATCACCCACCATGGTGACACTACCAGCACCACTATCACCCACCATGGTGACACTACCAGCACCACTATCACCCACCATGGTGACACTACCAGCACCACTATCACCCACCATGGTGACACTACCAGCACCACTATCACCCACCATGGTGACACTACCAGCACCACTATCACCCACCATGGTGACACTACCAGCACCACTATCACCCACCATGGTGACACTACCAGCACCACTATCACCGCACAGGGGGGAAACACTGGTGACACTACCAGCACCACTATCACCCACCATGGTGACACTACCAGCACCACAATCACCCACCATGGTGACACTACCAGCACCACAATCACCCACCATGGTGACACTACCAGCACCACTATCACCCACCATGGTGACACTACCAGCACCACTATCACCCACCACAGGAAACACTGGTGACACTACCAGTTCCACTATCACCCACCATGGGAAACACTGGTGACACTACCAGCACCACTATCACCCACCATGGTGACACTACCAGCACCACTATCACCCACCATGGTGACACTACCAGCACCACTATCACCCACCATGGTGACACTACCAGCACCACTATCACCCACCATGGTGACACTACCAGCACCACTATCACCGCACAGGGGGGAAACACTGGTGACACTATCAGTGCCATTTTGAAAATTGAACATTTCCTAAATTACTGTTAATTGTTAGAATTGGGATGAGATAAAATTATCGCACTTCGTCATAAATTAATTTGTTATGGAATTATTCCTTATAATAAAATAAGCAACGTGTTCAAGAAAGTTCTCAGCTGTTATGTGTCATTATGAACTAAACAATCACTTGGTCTTCAGGAGGATGGACGGTGTTCCTCCGGAGAGACACAAGAGTTGTTCCTGCGGTGAGCTTCAGGAAAGACTGGGAGGCCTACAAGACTGGCTTCGGTAACGCCGCCACAGAGTATTGGTTAGGTAAGTGGAAATACTGAGTCTGCCAACAAAACTTTTTCTCGTTTTCAAAATATTTAAAAAACGGCATCTAATTGTTTTACTCACGTTTTAAATTAGGTTTCATACACGAAATTGAAATTGAAATAGAAATAAGTTTATTGAGGTAAAATACACACAAAGAGATGAGGTAGCTCAAGCTATTCTCACCCCGTTCACTGTTTTGAGAAAGTGTAAATACGATTATAAAACTTGATGTCATAATGTTTTAATAAAAGGTGATGTCATAATGTTTTAATAAAACGTGATGTCATTATGTTTTAATAAAACGTGATGTCATAATGTTTTAATGAAACGTGATGTCATTATGTTTTAATAAAACGTGATGTCATAATGTTTTAATGAAAAGTGATGTCATGTTTTAATAAAACGTGTTTTAAATGTTTTGACATAGGGTTTAGAGCAAATGTTTTTAAACGTTGATTTTAATTATTAATTATTGGAATTATTAGGTATAATTATCTTTATTACTTTTAGAAAAAAAGAGACAGACAGAGAGAAAAGGAGAGAGATGTAGAGGCACACAGAAAGAGAGAGGAGAGAAACAGAGGGACAGAGACAGAAGGAGATAGGAAATTAACAAAAAGATAGAGAGAGAGAGAGAGAGAGAGAGAGAGAGAGAGAGAGAGAGAGAGAGAGAGAGAGAGAGAGAGAGAGAGTGAAAGAGAGAGGGTGGGGGCAGAGACATTATAGGCAGAGGCAGAGAGGCACAGACGAGAGACGAGAGGCAGAGACGGGTGTGCAGGAGACTGGACGTGGGGCAGGGTGCCGTGCTGTAGCACTGGGAATGGGGGGGGGGGGTATCTTGAGATGATTTCGGGGCTTTAGTGTCCCCCGCGGCCCGGTCCTCGACCAGGCCTCCCCCCCCCCCCCAGGAAGCAGCCCGTGACAGCTGACTAACTCTCAGAAACCTATTTACTGCTAGGTAACAGGTGCATCAGGGTGAAAGAAACTCTGCCCATTGTTTCTCGCCGGCACTTGGGATCGAACCCAGGACCACAGGATTACGTGTACAGTGTTCTGTCCGCTCAGTCACCGGCTCTACCGGGGAACATTGGCTGGCTACACCCTTTGCCGGGGTTAAATCGCAAACAGTTTCTGACCTCAAGATGGCTCACAGTTTACTGGCAGAGCCTCCCATTCACACCAACAGTATTAATAATGATGTTTACCTAATAGTACTTTAACCACACACACACACACACACTAGAGTCTCCCACACCGTGGGGACATAAAAACACCAACACACACACAAACATCCAAAACATACACATATAAACACACACAAACACACACCACACACTCAAATATACCAAACACAAACACACGAAACACAAATGCACATAATAAACACACATACACACACACACACACACACACACACACACACACACACACACACACACACACACACACACACACACACACACACACAAACTGGACTAAACTGGAAAAGGTTCAAAGGTTTGCCACCAGACTAGTACCCGAGCTGAGAGGTATGAGCTACTAGGAGACTACGGGAATTAAACCTCACTTCGCTGGAAGACAGAAGAGTTAGGGGGGACATGATCACCACACTCAAGATTCTGAAGAGAATTGATAGGGTAGATAAAGACAGGCTATTTAACACAAGGGGCACACGAACAAGGGAACACAGGTGGAAACTGAATGCCCAAATGAGCCACAAAGATATTAGAAAGAACTTTTTTAGTGTCAGAGTGGTTGACAAATGGAATGCATTAGGAAGTGATGTGGTGGAGGCTGACTCCATACACAGTTTCAAGTGTAGATATGATAGAGCCCAATCAGCTAAGGAATCTGTACACCTGTTGATTGACGGTTAAAAGGTAGAACCAAAGAGCCAGAGCTCAACCCAAATCCACCCTCTCCCCTTACACCAAGTATCCCCTGCTTTCCCTGCCCCTGGTCTTCTTCCTGCCCCCAGCAGGCCCAGGCGAGACCTAAACCCTCCATCCCCCACTCCACCTTCCCCCAAACCCCTGTCAACTACACCACAGGAGGGCGTGCCCTTTTCCCAAGCAATCCCTGCCCCCTCACCCCTAGGACTTCTTCCTGCCACAAGCAGGCCTGAACAAGACCTAAACCCTCCATCCCCCACTCCACCTCCCTCTCAACCCCTGGCAACTACCTCACAGGAGGATGAGCCTACCCAAGTAGCAATGACCATGGAACAACTTCCTACACTTATGGGGAGTGAGGGTAAAATTGAATATAAGAAAGTAAGCTTCAAGGTAATGTACTTAAGCATTGAGGGGATTACCAATAAAGCAAGTGAACTGGCAGAAAGGGCGCAAGAAGAAAACCCTGATGTAAAAGGACTCACAGAAACAAAATTGTCAGGAGTCATAACAGATGCTGTGTTTCCAAAGGATTACTATATAGTAAGGAAAGAAAGGGAAGGGAGAGGAGGTGGAGGAGTGGCCCTGCAGATAAGGAAGGACTGGACATTTGATGAGATGGAAATTCCAGACTGTGACGGGTTCAGAGATTACATAACAGGAACTATAACTATGGGTGGACCTAAGATAATAGTGGTAGTCATTTACAACCCTTCCCTAAATGACAGAAATCCTAGACAGGAGTTTGATAGAAACAACATGGCAACCATTAATATAATAGAGAGAGCAGCTTCAGTTGCCTGGAGACTCTCAAGACTCTTAATCATGGGCGATTTCAACCACGGAAAGATAGACTGAGATAATGGGGACCCACATGGTGGTGCAGATACGTGGAGAGGTAAACTCTTGGAAGAGACAACAAGGAACTTTCTCACCCAGCAAGTCAGGGAACCCACAAGTGTGAGAGGCAATGATGAACCAGCTAGACTCGACTTGATATTCACCCTGAATGAGTCGGAAATAAGGGAAGTCAAAGTTGAAGCCCCCATAGGAATGAGTGACCAAAGTGTACTGACTATTGAGTACTTGGTGGAGGTAGGGATAACCTATCCAAGGATTGGATCGGAGGGAAAAAGACTAAATTACCGAAGAAGAAAATATGACGAGATGAGGAACTTCCTGAGGGGAATACCATGGGAAACAAAACTTAGAGACAAGAATGTGCAGGACATGATGGATTTTGTCACCCAGAAGTGCCAGGAAGCTGCAGACAGGTTTATCCCCGTCCAAAAGGAGAAAACCGAAAAACAACAGAAAAACCCATGGTTCAACCAGGAATGCAAGGTAGCGAAGCAATTGAATAAAAGAACATGGAGAAAATACAGAAATAACAGAACACCAGAGAGCAAGGAGAGATACCAGAGGGCCAGAAATGAGTACTTCAGAGTGAGGAGGGAAGCAGAGAGACAGTTTGAAAATGACATAGCGAGTAAAGCCAAGACCCAACCAAAGTTGCTCACCAGTCACATCAGGAGGAAAACAGCAGTGAAGGAACAAGTGATGAAACTGAGAAAAGGGGAGAACAGATACACAGAGAATGACAAGAAGGTGTGTGAAGAACTCAACAAGAGATTCCAGGAGGTCTTCACAATAGAACAAGGAGAAGAACCCGCACTGAATGAGGAGGAGGCAAACCGTGGAGGAAGTTGACCTCACCAGTGATGAGGTCAAAAGGTGTCTGCTGGAGCTGGATGTGACAAAGGCTGTTGGGCCTGACAGAATCTCACCATGGATATTAAAGGAAGGTGCAGAAGCACTAAGTGTGCCACTCTCTATGGTGTATAATAGGTCACTGGAAACAGGAGACTTACCAGAAAGTTGGAAGACAGCTAACGTAGTCCCAATATACAAAAAGGGTGACAGGCAAGAGGCACTGAACTACAGGCCAGTTTCCCTAACTTGTATACCATGCAAGGTGCTGGATAAGATCGTGAGGAAAAGGCTCGTGGAGCATCTGGAGGGAAATAACTTTGTAACACACCACCAACATGGGTTCAGGGATGGTAAATCGTGCCTGACAGGTTTAATAGAACTCTATGACCAGGCAACAAAAATTAGGCAAGAAAGAGAAGGGTGGGCCGACTGCATTTTCCTGGACTGCCAAAAAGCCTTTGACACAGTACCCCATAAAAGGCTATTAAAAAAGTTGGAGCATCAGGCAGGAGTAAAAGGTAAGGTGCTCCAGTGGATAAGGGAGTACTTAAGCAACAGGAAACAGCGAGTAATGGTGAGGGAGCAGACATCAGAGTGGCGAGATGTCCCCAGCGGAGTACCACAGGGTTCAGTACTTGGACCCATCCAGTTTCTAATATATGTAAACGATCTTCCGGAGGGTATAGACTCGTTCCTCTCTATGTTTGTTGATGATGCAAAAATTATGAGAAGAATGAAGACGGATGAAGATAGACAGAGACTACAGGATGACCTGGACAAACTGGAGGAATGGTCTAGAAAATGGCTGCTAAAGTTCAACTCAGGAAAGTGTAAGGTAATGAAATTAAGCGACGGGAGCAGGAAGCTGAACACAAGGTATCATCTGGGAGGTGAAATCCTGCAAGAGTCAAATAGAGAGAAAGATCTGGGGGTTGATATCACACCGAACCTGTCCCCAGAGGCCCACATCAAAAGAATATCATCAGCGGCATATGCTAGACTGGCCAACATAAGAACTGCTTTTAGAAACTTGTGTACAGAATCGTTCAGGACCCTGTATACCATTTATGTAAGACCAATCCTGGAGTATGCAGCTCCAGCCTGGAGTCCATACCTAGTTAAACACAAGACAAAGTTAGAAAAGATCCAGAGGTATGCCACTAGGCTCGTCCCGGAACTGAGAGGAATGAGCTTCGACGAAAGGTTAAGGGAGCTTAATCTCGCATCCCTGGAAAATAGAAGTGTAAGGGGAGACATGATAACCACCTACAAAATTCTCAGGGGAATTGACAAGGTGGACAAAGACAAACTTTTCAGCACTGGAGGGATACTAACAAGGGGACACAGGTGGAAACTTAGTACCCAGATGAGCCACAGAGACGTTAGAAAGAA